AAAAGCCTGTTTTGTGAAGTTAAGTCATGATTCAACTAGTGCAATGCAGGAGCACAATGGAACCTTACTTAGAGCAAGGCACCAAGAGCAACAGAACCCAAAATAGCCCACCCCCTCCCATCTGTTCCTCTGTCTATCTACTCACCATTGTGTCCAGGACAGGGTTGTGGGGAGCCAGAGCTTATCATGGCAAGCAAAGGGCACAAGGCAGGATACACCCTGGATGGGATGCTAGCTCATCTCAGGGCACAAACAGACACAAACACAGACATACACACACTCGCACCAGGGCCAGTTCTCCCAGACGCCAATTAACCTCCCAGCATGTTTTTGGACTTTGGGAGGAAACCCATGCGAACAAAGGGAGAAGTCCACACAGATACTACTGTATAACACTCAGGGTCTGAACCCAGGGCACTAGACCTGACCCCTGCACCACCATGCTGTCCCCCACAGTTTCAAGGTTATACTCTCTGTCAGAAAAGTTTCTAAGGATATACAGTTACAAATGAGAGATTACCATTCTACCCATTTATTTTGCTTTCGACAGCTAATTGATCTCAGAATCACCTCCAACCAATTTTTGAAACAAAGCAGGTGGTGGCTTCAACTACATGGTAGTGTAGCTTGTTCCCTTTGTCTCAAGTAGCTCTTCCTTTTCTTAGTTTTCCTTACATTCTCTTTGTCTGGAAGCAAGTACGAAACTAAAACCATTCTTATACCCTTAAAACCCTTAAAGGGTACAAATGAGGAGACTTTTACAAAATACTGTTGTGTAAAATACAGCCATTGAAACTTGATGGTGAAAGATGAAATAGAAGGTTGAAATCTGAACATTTTTGCTTTGTCGCAATTGCAAATGAATGTTAAATCAGGAGTCAGTGCTTCAACACATTTCCAACTTTCCTCCAGTTCGATGCAATTTAAAGGAATGGTGCTAAATTAAATGCTCTCATTTCGGTGCCACAGAACTTTATTTTTCAAAGCCATGATTCCCCCCCATCTCGAGAACTGTCCCTGGGACATCTGGTCTACTGGTTGCTCCACCCTTGCATCAATCTGTTGAACAGTGTTCAAAGTTGCAGGAAGAGAGCCAGTAAAGCCTCATAGCCAGAGCCTTGCCTTTCCATACTTTATTATTCATATATTTGTCTAATGGAGGATGAGCCAAGTACATTGTTCAATAGTACAACAGCAGTTGCCGACCTGGGTTCAAACACAAGTCCAGAGCCCTGACCTCTGCTTCGCAGTTTAAAAAAGAAACAGAATTCATATGATTCTTACATAACTGTGGCACAAGACAGATCACACTCTTTTTACCAGCATAAGGGTTTTATTGTTCGATTGAGAGACATGGTTTTTTATCTACACTTTTGTTACTGCATTTGGAAAAATCTGGTAAATTTCATCATAGGCTTTGTCAACTCTCTACTAAAACTACCCAAATCGAAGGACATACCTACTACCCCAGCAGGACAGCCCCTGCATTGCATTTATGCTGGAAACCTGTCATTATGGAGTCAAAAGTGTTGTCAGCTATGCCTTTTCCAAAAAGGCATAGCTGACAATATGAAATCAGATCTCTAAGAAATGGCTTGATCTTCTGAATCAAGGGTCTGATGTTGAAGACTTTCTCCAAAGCTGTGGAGGAGATAATTTTAATTCATACGTGCACTGTAGTACAGGTGCATTGAGAGTAACTTCAAAACAAACTGGAGCTTGGATCAAAAAGGAACATTAAAAGTTTTACAATGTTTATTATGCACTCTCCTTTTGTAAATAGGCCTAAGACAGGCATTGCTCAAACTATTTCTTAAAACTTACCAAGGGAATTGAGAGAGATAGCAGTCAAGGGAAAATGAACCTCCTAAGTTGATGTCTGATCTAAACACATTTAAAAACTGAGGTCGCTTTCTCATAACTGTTGTTAAATATGGTTGCAGCCAGCAGTTATTTCACCCTGCAATTCACAACTGGCAACCCACTGAAGCTCAGCAAGTGTGAGCCTGGCTAGTACCTGGATGGGAGACTCCTGGGAACGCTACGGTTGCCGCTGTAGGAGGTGTTAGTGGGACCAGTAGGGAGTGCTCACTCTGCAGTCTGTGTGGGTACTATACCCCAGTGTACTGATGGGGACACTATACTGTATAAAGGCGCTGTCCTTTGGATGAGACATAAAACCGAGGTCCTGATTCTCTGTGATCATTAAAAATCCCAGGGCATTTCTTGAAGAGTAGGGGTGTTACCCCGGCATCCTGGCTAAATTTCCCATTGGCCTTTACTTATTGAGATGCACTTGCTCTAAGGCCATATAGTAGTGTAGCCCCAACATCAAGGATGGGACTCCTTGTGAGCCTGTTTCTTTGGCTTTTATTTTTTGAACCCTTCATTGAATTAATAACTGGTTCATTATTGATACTTAAAATATTGGCTTCCTTTTAAAACATTTTAACCCAAATTATTGCATGCAGATCATGCACGTTTGTATGCGGAAGTCAGCTGATGGGATGCGGGGTCACAGATAATTCCTTGTTGATCCAGGTGAATACTGAAATAAGTGAAAACTAGAAAAAGAGAGCTCTATTCTGTACGCTTGAAGGTGAAAGCCTTCTATTATGTCATGTATGACATTGTAGAAGAGCCTCTAGAGACCCTAGATACTGTAGTGCGTCTCACTCCCCTCATTGGCAGTGCTGTATTGCAGAGCTCTGGGACTGTCTGTGAGCACAGCTGAGAGTCTGGATGTAAAAGCCCCATTAGTGGTTCTGTCAGAATACCCTGCTGTGATTGCATCTGCTCCCCAGCCCTGATGCAGCACTCTCTCACTCTGTCTGTCTGAGCCCTTGTTGGAAATGCTGCCAGCGTACCATTGGGATGCACTTGCTGAATGGGCTGCTTTCAAAGTCAGCACCCAGCAGGCTTGTGTGACAAATGAGTCAACCTACAGAACACATTTGCAGCAAAGTACCTCAGTTAGTAAGTCACCTTGAAGCGGCTGAGAGTGAGTGCAATTTGAGCAGCTCGTGTGATTTGTGTGCAGAACTACCGGGATTCTGATATTGTGTCAGAAGAGTCTTCCTCATCATGTCTTTAGCCCCCTTTGGAGTGGGACAGGTATTACACAAGGAGGCTCTACAAGCAAAATATAGGAGGCACCATGTCCAGAGAGAAAATATGCTTTTTTCCCCAGAGGAGAGCACTTAGTTTATGCTCTAGCATTTATTTTTAGCGTCGCGCCTTTGACTACTTTTTCCAGGAGATGAAGAGGGAGTTTTAGTGAGAATGCTGCTGCTGAAGCTGTGTGTGCGTGCCCGTGCCGTCTCTCCGCAGGCGAGGTGTGGCCCGAGCTGGAGAAGGCAGAGAAGCTGGCCCGCGGAGCCGCGCTGAAGTGGGCATCAGGAGTGTTCTACAGGCCCGACCAGCTGGAGAGACTGGCGCAGTACCGCAAGAGGGAGACCCAGAGGACCGCCTCCATACAGCTCAGGCTCAAGGTACACAGAGCAGAGACGGTGCCTACCCTATGCAGGACTTTTAATTTAGCTTGCAGAACTTTATCCCTCGGCACTTTAAATTTGAGCTTACATATGGTAATTACACAGAACATCTGTAGACAGGGGCAACTTCACCTGATGGTCCTTCCAGTCAATTTAGTTTACTGGATATTACTAACACATGATGCTAAATGAATTATCTGACAACTTGCTGAGTTAAAATAGCAATGAAGGGACAAAAGATGCTTGGTCATTTCAAGGTCCAGTAATGGAGTTGATTGGAAACGGCCCTGTTGAGTGGCCCTGTTCGATATGATGGCTGGGGAGCAGGAGCTCCTACCCTGGTCCTGAAGGGCTCCTAGATTGTGCTGTAGTTTTAATCCCATCTCACACTCCCCAAGTGTTTCTGAGCAGCCAGGACGTTGTGTGCAAGCGTTAGACGAAGGCGGCCGGGCGGGCGGGGCCCCCCTTGACCGTTCTCTCCTTGGCGCGCAGTCCGCCGTGCAGTCGCACCTGGAGGGGGTGGGATGGGGGCTGGAGCAGCTGCGGAGCGCCCGGGAGGCAGCGCGGGAGGCGGCGCGCGCCCTGGAGGAGGCGCGGGCGGGGTCGCGGGAAAACGCCGAGGGATTCCGCTCCCTGGACCACCTGCGGGAGGTGGCCTTCCGGCACGAGCAGCTGCTGGCCGCCGCCAGTAACCTGCCTCGACTCTGTTCCGGTGAGAAGGCCAGCCGCCTCGCAGTTAAACCTTTACACTTCACTTTATCGCCCACGTCTGCTTCCTGGAGCCGAGAGGCCGCTTCTCTTTGTACAGGAACCAGTTGTTTGAACTGCTAATCGGTTTGGCCAAGTGCAATTTATTTTTCGTTTCCAATTTAATTTGTTTTTATTTAGGGCTTTTTCCCTTGGTAATTAGACCCAGGGTCGTCACCCACCTGAGACTTTACTGATGCTGTCTGGTAAATCTGGTAAATCTTGAGACGAAACCCTGTTTTTTCCCTCTAAGTAACAATGTGCTATGGACCGTACCAGATATTCCCTTTAGCATCCATTTTAAGCCCTGAATCAGGAACATTTTCAGCAGTTAAAAACACCTGAACATTAAAACAGTGTACAGTACCTACTGTATGTTAGGGCAGTTCGGAAATCGGGCACTTTAAAATGGAAAATATTCATTTCTAAGCTTTATGAGCCCGAAAACAACTGCAAGTCAGAAGTGAAAGGATGGTGTAGGGAAGCATTCATTAAAGGGATTGTATAAATTGAATTAACTGGCAATCTGGCTGTGGGCAGTGATGTGCACAGTACAGAGGACAGACTCGGTGAGGAAACTCAGTCTAGTGGGTGGGTGTGAGACTCTAAAACCTTGGGTGTGAGCAAGACTGAGAAAGACATCGCAGTGAAAGTCTGTGGGCTTCTCTCTCCCAGTACCGGCAGTGGTCGCAGAAACCCGGCGTCTGATCAAGACGAGGCAGCTCCTGGAGGCCCACGCCAGGCTAATGGAAATGGAGAGCTGGCAAAACAGCGTCTTGTGGCAGTTGCAGCGGGTTCGAGGGGGTGCACCTAGCCCAGAGGAGGAGGCCCTGGTCTTGGGGTACTTTGCGGGCGTTAAACAGCTGGGCGAGGCCCTGGCTACGGAGCTGTGGGCGGTGATCGGCAGTGGGCTCTCCCTGGTCCGACAGGACCCCACTCCCTTCGTGTCGGCCGTCCGCATCATCGAGAGGGAGGAGAGCATGGACCAGGCCTTCCTGGAGGAGCGCGCGGCCGGATCCCGTGCCCTCCTGCCCCCCGGGCGCCCCCGGCAGTGGCGCGCGCGCTTCTTCGGAGTGATCGAGGAGGCCATCGCCACCCGTTTCCGTGCCACCTACTTGGACATCCGGGGGCCCGGCCTGGCCAGCCACCTGACCGCGCTGCAGAACAGCATCATGAGCGATCTGATTGCGGTCAAGCACTTGCTGGAGCAGTGCTGCCCACCCCACTACCGCATCGCCCACACCTACCTCATCATGTGCCACAAGTGCTTGTGGACCCACCTCCAGCAGGTCATCAGCTGGGACCTGGACAGCAGTGAGATCTTCACAGTGCTTAAATGGGTGCTGCACATCTACCATGGGTCAGTCCTACTGATCTCCACTGGGTAACATTAGATAGTTAAGCTTTAACATGACTCCAAACCTAGGTCAATTTCAGAGTTGTCCCACATGTACCCCTGTGTGAGTGATAAACATATTAGGCTTCTGCATTAGCTGAAAATTTATCAGACTCCTGTATGATGTGTCCTGCTGAGCTCTTAGATGATTTGGCTTATTGTTGGGTTTATTATTATGTGTTTTCTGTCTGCTACATTTCAAACACTGCATTATATGTAATCTAGAATAAACCTTAAAGTAAATAAACAATTAAAATGGTATTTTTGTAAGCAGTGACCTTATAGAGGTCACGGTCATATTTATCAGCAGGACCTACAAACAATAGGATAGGAAATAAATGCCAAGAAAGCCATAATATGTTAGGAACAAATTAAATTTAATTTTGTCATGCCAAAATCAACCCTTGAAGTTATTTATTAGTGCAGCAAAAACACACTTTTTTATTAAAGCAAAACACACTTTTGTCCTCCAAAGTAATAGGACAAGGGGTGTTTATAAATATTACATAGAGAAAAATTACATAAAGAGAAATTGCAGAGCATGATGGATGCCAGGCTCTGTCTGTTGCAGCCCGGAGATGATGGGCCATCCAGACCTCTGCTCAGAGGTGGAGGCTGAAGAATTGAAACCCCTCATATCGCAGGAGGCACTGGAGAAACTTCAGATGAAATACGTCAACACCGTCAGGGTAGGTGTGATCCCCACTGTGAGGAATACAATCAGTTTCTTAACTTTTAATTTTCTGAAACTACCTTCTTCTTTACTTTTATTTTTATGATAGGATATTTCAAAAGAGCTGAAGTTTCAATAGGCTTTGTGCATTTATTTAGCTAATGGATGGTTCTGTATGTCACAAAGTGAGTCCAAACCACTGATTTGAGGCTTTGGTGGAATCTTAAGTAAGATACCTTGCTATGCTTTGGAATCTGGTTTACTTAGAGCAGGTCCTCCATGACAGGAGCTGATCAAGGGTTTGAGACAGGCAGGCACTGTCTAAATTGAGCTGGATGTTAGTCTGTTTTTCATTGTTTTATTAGGTCCTTGACTTGAGATCCTGGGCATTGTAACTGTACCATACTTTGTTTCAGGGGTCACTTTGACAGTATACTGGATGTCATGAGGAAGGTGTGTGCATACTTTGAGTTTTTGGGGGGGTTGATCGAAAATGCATGCATGTGTGTGTTGCAGAGTAGTGTGTCAGAGTGGATGCATAAAGCTCTAGAGGTGGAGCTGACAGACTGGCAGAGAGACCAGGAGCCTGAGACAGATCATGAAGGCTTCTATCACACCAGCATGGCCACCATCATCACCCAGGTACAGTACAACCCTCTGACACCCTCTCACAACTATAGCATGGTATGCCATTTTCATCACATAATTATGGAATAGTGCAACACACTTTCAGTTTTTCATGAAACTGAAAACCTATTAATCAAAGCGCAAGACCAAGCTGAAACATTCTGCTATGACCTCTGACCTCCACACTTCAGATGCTGGAGGAAAATGTACGTGTGGCCCTGATGATCAGCGAAGCACTGCGAGACCAGACTATCCTCATGGGGCTCTATGAGATGGAGAGCTTTCTTAACAGGTATTGTGAGTTACAACAGCACACCCTCTAAAAATGATATATCTTATTACTTACATTGCCTTTATACAACCCATTTTTCTATGTTTTCATTTGTAATTACTTTTTGAGCAATTGTTTTTCACTTGGACATTGTGTGGTAAAATAAATGCTGATTTAATATATCATGATCTCGGGCTGTTAGGCCACAAAATATGCTATTTTGGAAAGGGTGTGTTGACTTTCTAATGGCACTGCACATCTTGGATTCTAGTTCATCACATTCCATGTTGCTTATGCGCTCCGGTCTGTAACAAATTCCCAGTTGTTTAAGACACACAGAGCTACTGAAGCTCAACCAATGCGCCCTGCCAGCGCTCCCATGTGTCTGTGGGCCGTTTATCTTTCAGCACGTTGAGAGCTCCTCACTGCACAGGTACTGCAGGCAGGCAGGACGAGGCGCGAGTGTGTCTCTAATGTAGCTACCATTGTCACATTGGTGTGCAAAAGATGCCCTGACAGACTCAAGCCAGCTCAACTCCAGTGCCACTTGGCTAGTTACGTGTCACCAATATAGGGAAAACTAAAGTCCCACTCGGCCCAACACAAAACTGCCATCAACAAAAATTGTTTTAAATTGTTGAGCAACTTGGAAGCCAGAGCTGATGTTTTTATGCATCACATCCCCATCCACACAGCCTCTGGATTGAGCCTTTCAGGGAGCACAAGTGAAGCTTAGAGAGCACAGCTCAAGGTGTTTCACAGACATTGGTTACAAAACCCTGGAAAGGTGTTGTTATTATGATTCACACCCCAAATTGTGAGGAACAGGAGGAAAGATGCAGGTCATGATAGATGAGGGTTTGTGGGCAGAAGCAAGGCCCTGGATGAGAAGCCATGTTCTTGGGGACTCTCACCTCAGAGCAGCTCGGTTGGCTCAGACTGGCAGTATCAAGCGTGGAGCGGATGGGTTAATTAATGTGGTACGTCTGCAGGTTTCAGGAGAGACTGGTGGCCTTTGGGAAGGAGCACCAGAAGGACCGGACAACCCCCAAGTACTACGTTCATTACCTGCTGGCGGCCATCAACAACTGCATCATTCTGAAGTGAGGACACTGTGCAAAAACACAAAAATACAGGCGGCACTGTTTTTGTGATGGAGCCACTGTGTTTGTCAGTGCATTAACAGAGAAAGAAATATTGGTCTTTAATCTCTATCACGTAACCACTAGTAAAAACTGTCATAAATACTATATGCCAGATATGTCTAGCTCAGGTCCTAGAGAGACACAGTCAAGCAGAGGTCTCCTTTACCTCCTTAATTTCTAATATGTCATTATCTGCATCTTGCTGAATGCTTAACTGTTTGTGCCTGTTTTCTAGAGCTCCTCCTTCCTTGTTTGTGGCTCTGCCTACTCTTAAGTATGAGTGTGATGCTACTGGTGTGAAAGTTTAGCAAGTGAGTAATAGGTCTGTGGCATTATGTCTGAATTTGTACAATGGTATGTCTTTGGCTAGTACCAGTGTGGTTCTTAAGATGGTGTGTAGTTGTGTGTAGCAGTGTAGGTGGGTCTTTCAATTTTTCTTTTTACAACATGAAAGTGTCTGTGTCTCTCTGGATATGTCTGAATATGGTAAGACCAGTTCTGGTGTGAATCCATATCGATCCTTTATCTTAACCATCCTATTGACTGTCTAGAATAGAATCCATGAAGCCTGATCTGTCAGATTTCAGAAGTTCTGCAGGGCCAAACCTGGTTAGTTTTTCAATGGGAGAAATTAAAGGAAACTCTGGTTGCTGTTGGGAGTTATGCACATAGAATACATATCAGCAGATTTCTTTCTGGGCCAGAAATAACACACTTGTGCCAGAGTACTGTAACAGCGGACATTGCCCTGCGGCTTTTCAGTTTAAACATTGAGACGATGTCTCCGTTACATAACTGTAATATCTGAGAGCACATTTATCAGACGGAAGCGAGTCCCAGTTAAAAATAACATGGGATTGACTCATCATTAGATGGATTTAAATATATTTCCTGCCTCCCAAGCCTACCCCTAAAGTTTCATCTTCAAAAACAAACTGATCTAAAGCTTAGCTGGTTTTCACAAGTCCGTGGGTCTTTCTTTGTTATCGTGTCAGCTCTGTCTAGACTGTCTTTAGTGTATACAGTATGTGAATGCAACTTTGTCCCTGTTTATGTGTATGGAATGTATCTGAGTTTGTTTGACGGTGCATGTCCCATCAGTTCACATAATAAGTGTAGACTGTTTGTGTAGATGGTTGTACAGTATGTGTCCAAGAACAGTCACAGTACGAGCATACTGTTCATTTTGTTCTGTCTATGAAACAGAATGAGCAAGGGACATTGTTCACTGTCAGTGTTCTATTATACAGGGACTCTGAGTGCTGTGTCCAGCTCTGTGTTCCCATTACAGTGATCAGGTGAGCTGTAACCACTGTGCTATACTAGCTCTTGCCCAGTGTCAGTGTTTTGTATTACAGGAGTGCTACTGAGAGCCTCCAGCAGCAACGTAGCTCAGCCTCCCCCTGCCTCTCCAGCAGAACCCCTCCCAGCCCTCATGTTGCATTAGAGAAGGCCATCAAGAGAGCCTGTCATCTGGTTATTGATGAGCTGCTCTGGGAAGTGCAGGTAATTTAATGAACAATAATAGTACACTAATAGTAATAGTAGTAAAGCCTACTATAATGAATGCAATAACTTTTATAGGTTTATAAGTAGGACAACATCATAGCATTGTCCTCAGTATACATAATAAAATAGAATATTCTGTTTTTCACTCAATGGAGGGAAAAACAACACCCTTATCTAAACCAAAGATAATCTAAACCAAAGATAACCTCATAATGTTTAAATAGGACCATTACAATACGACTCCAGAATTTCCCTCTTGAAATCAGTTGCATAAGTTCACACCATGAGGTAAAGACCACTAAGTCCTACAGAGCTACATACTGTAAAGCAGACCACCATTCAATTAAGGGTTTATCTTCTTTGTGGAGGGAAATATCAAGATCAAGAACTGATCAAGAACAGCACAGCAATCATCACCAAGCTGACTGAAAATAAAGAAGAGGGCAAAGGTGAGGAGAAAGCAGGAGCTTCCTGCTCTCTGATTTAGCACATGGGCAAAAGTGCAGAGCAGTCATTTTCAGTAACACCTACTGTATTTACACATCTACAAGTATCTTGATCTTGATGAAACTCCTGTATCATGGCAACACCTTTTTCCTTCATATCAAACCTAAGCAGCATTTTATCAGGGAAGAATCATCTTATAAATCCCTCAGCAGGGGGCTGAATGACATATTTCACCAAAGAAGACTGTCAGTGTCTCAGAAAACTTAACAATACAACCTGGACTTGACGTCTTGACGTGACCTCTGGAAGAGCAGTCTTGAAGATCCAATCTGGGAAATACTATACACCTTTTCCATCTCCCGTTTCCACTGTGCCAGAGCTTCTTCTGCACTGGAAAACATGCAAGAGTTGGAAAACATACAAGAATTGGTCCCTTTTCATCAAGAATCACACAGGATTGCCTTGTTCAATTTCCTCCTGACAACATGCTTTGTGGATGTTACTGCCACAGGATTACTGTTCCCTTGTTCACCTGAAATCAAGACCTATTTTTACATCAGCTGTTGACATCAGCATCTCGCATAGTGTAGTGTCTGTACCCACTGCAGCAATCCCTGAACTTGCAACTGCAGCCTCACTTTAGACAGGCAGTAGCTGCTTCTCTATTAGTACCGTGGTTTAGTAAATCCAGGGAAGCTGGATTCCTTCACTTTCTTCTTACTGGGGAAAGAAGTAAGCAATGAGTCCAGTTCTTTCTAAGCTTCTCACATTGGCAATGACATATGCATGTAAGAATGAAAAGAGCAAAAGGAGGTAACAAAAATAATGAAGAAGCTCTGAGCACTAGTTACCATTACAGCACAGAGATAATGATCCTTCATACCACCCTGCTGACAGATGTTTGTGTGTGTGTGTGCAGCCTCAGTTTCTGCATGTGCTGTGCCGCTCATGGCTGGGAGACAGTGAGCTAATGGACAGCCTCTGTGGAGCTGTGGAGCAACACTGCAATCTCTACAGCCGTGCCAGAGAGCCCTGTCAAAAGGTGAGATGGTGTGCATTCTTCTTCACTGCTTCTGCACTATGAGATGCCTTCATTCAAACTATTGTGGAGGTCTGGAGCAAACTGCCCAACCATGTTCACATCTATCAGCATTGTGAGCCTTCTTTTCATTATGGTGCCTACCAAGAACAGATGTAGTGTTTGAAGTCAACCCTATATCTGCACCAAATAACTTGATTATAGCAGATAATATCAAACTTTCATCTATTAATTGACACAATTGTGTAATGGAGTGGATTGGTAGGTTCTCAGGTTGAGTAGGCCTGTATTCGACCATAGCACTGCATTTGCTACCATTCCTCTGGCTCTCTTTTTGAGTGGACTGGAAGGAGTTTCTAGGTGTCATTTACAAAAAGGTTGAAGTAAAATGTAGGTGGGCCATTGACAGAAATTTGCTCTCACTGATTTGAAATCTGTCTGATTTTAATTAGCTTTATTGTAGCTATATGTTTCAGTGTGGCTGAAAGTCTGTGGTTTGACAAAGGCCCTGTCGAAAGCTCCAGCAAGCCAGTGCATTTCAATTTCCTCCTATCTCTCCTGCAGCAGCTGGTCACGGAGAGCCAGTGGGCTCTGGTGGTGGAGTATGTGCGTGCCCTCATGCAGAAGAGGATGGTGTGCCGCAGTGCCGAGGAGCGTGGACATCTTGCCGAGAGGATGGTACAGGACGCACAGCAGCTTCAGGAGCTCTTCCTGATCATGGTAGGGGGAAATGCCTGCAGGCAGAGTCAAAATTGGACCTTTCTGTAGCGATGCCTTACAGAGAATCAGGATGGGAATGCAAAACACAGTAACTGGGGCTCTAGATAAGGTAAGATAAGATCACTTTATTGGGCATATTTAATTTCTTGTATTAGGAATTTTGTCTTTTTGCATTCATCAACTTGCTATCCATGAGACACACAGACAGGGAGAGAAGCTTGGGGTCAGAGTGCTGGGTCAGCCATTTATACGGCGCCCCTGGAGCAGTTGGGGTTAAGGGCCTTGCTCAGGGGCCCATCGGAGTAGGATTCCTCTGCCGGCTGTGGGATATGAACCGGCAACTTTCCAGCCACAGGCGCAGATCCTTCGCCACAGAGACGCTGCCCCACCCTCTTTTTTTAATGGTGGCAGAGTGGGATCATAAGCTCTAGTCTTATTATCAGAGTTGTGGGTTCAAGTCCTAATGTGCATTCTTATGGTGTTTTACCCAACCTAGTCAGTCCACCTGTATAATTGTATTCCAGCATTACAGGAGGGTGCATCTGCAGTGGACTAGAACTCAACCTGTGGAGAATCTGGACAAACACTAGATTTGTTCACTGCTACAGAAACTGAGAAAAGGTTCTGACTTCACTTCCTATTTCAGTATTTTCATGATGTCAAAACCTGAGTCCAATAAGTCTTCTGAATGACAGTGGTGTTTTATTGACCGTATAAAAGCTGTGCTTTGTGCGAGTACTGTGTTTCTATCGGTCCAGTGAGGATAGAGGCCGTGATGAGTGTGTCTGTCTGAGTGCAGGCTGGAAACGAAGAGAGTGGCAGCGGTCAGAGGCAGCTGGGCGGAGAGCTGCTGAAAGTGCTCCCGGCGCTGGCAGAGATCGTCCGGCTTAAGGACCCTTCCATGCTGACCCTGGAAGTATCAGGGCTGGTGGCAAAATACCCGGACATCAGGTTCTTATGATTTTTTTGCATATACTGCAAACTTCTCAAGTGCACCATTGCATTTTCTGTAAGTCTTCCCTGCTGGACTAATGGTAATGCTTAGGATCTTGTTTAGAATTAGAAATTCTTTGGTCCATGGCGTGCATCCATTGTTCTGTGTGTGCGATTTGGGGTTTTTTGTTATTTTAGTGTCTTCATTCTTCCAGTTCTTACAGATTCTTTTCTCATTTCATTTCCTTACTCATCTTACTAATCCTAGTTTTAATCTTTCCATCTATATGCTGAGTCATTCTTGCATGCAGAGTTCAAGTCGAACCTCTGTACCGCAGTTGATCAGATGTTGTTCTGTAAGACAAGGGTGTCTCCACATTATTTGGAATGGTTTTCTAAGATCAAAGACTACTGACAACTGATTGTTGCAAGGCTGCTATGCTCCTCTGTTGTGGATTCGCCTATCCAAAATGTTGGGAAAGTGGCAACCCTAGATGTCTCTAAACATGCATTGCAAATGGAAACATAGAAAGAAGCAAGGATTGATCTAATTAGATTTTTTTTTCAAAAAGGTTTTAGCTATCAAAATGGATAGACTAGTCTTCCTCTGTGTCCTGTACCTAGTGGAGTAATAAGAATATGAATTTCAGTTGGCTTGTTTCTGTTTATTTCCCCCCTGCCCACATAGTGAGGAGCACGTGTCTGTGCTGTTGGACGTCAGGGGAGACGTTCCAAGGGAGGTACGTGGGACAGTCCTGGAGATGCTGGAGACAAGCGCCCCTCCCCTCCCCCCTGGGTACCGCCCAATCTTCACCAACATCCTCGTCCCACCTCCTAGTATGCCCTTCTGCCTGCCCACTGTCAAGTGTGCCTGATAACAGATGGAAGCGGACAGCCATAGAGGGGCACATTAGGAATGAGAAAACAGGACTGCTGCCATTGCAGAGGTTTCCTTGCGACTCAGTAAGCCAGGGGTGCTAAGGCAGCACCCTAGAAAACTTCGAGTCGAGGGAAAAGAGTCAAGATGGGATGTGCATTAAGGACTCTCAGGTGATAATTACAAGATTGAGGCGTTTAAAGATATTATGCATTCCGCATATACTGTACCAAAGACCCTGGAAGCAGCACTGTAGCCCAGGGCATGTGTCTAATGTAACAAGGCTTTGGAAAGTGTTTTACTTGCATCTCTAAATGGAGCCCTAGGACTTGTTTGATGCTCACCTACTGTATAGTAAAATTAAATCAGAACTATTACGGCATTTTGGTGTTATTCTCTTTATCCATGTTTCGTCAGTATGGACAATCTTTGCTTAAAGTGTGTTGAAAACAAAAGGACGTGTAAAAGTTGAATCCAATCCTATCAGAGCAAGCTGCAAAATGGTGTCAGGATTATGGCCTGCGCAAAGCAAAATGCTTTACATTAATGGTATTGTTTTATCAGAACCGGCAATTGTGGACCACAAACTCCAAAGGGTAATAATTAAGACAAGGTGAAATTGGCTGAGAAGGGGGTCTTCTCAGACACTTGGTACTTCTACCCTTCTTTACCCAAATGTTTTGGGCCATACGGTTGTAATGTACCATTTTAATGGCTCTGTTGATTTGATCGCCAGCCAATATTTTCCATAATTGTCCTCCATTCAACAATGAAAGACAAACCAGAGGTCACAATTGGGAACAATGTGGAAATACCTCTAAAACTGAGGACAGGTAAAATTTATTTATGCAAAGAAGAGTTTGCTGAAGTGTGGAATAAGCTATCCAGACATGTTAAAACCAATAGTCCTTCAACAAAATGGCTGAATTAGTTGCTACCAAGTTGGCTAGATGGCCCAGGTGGCTTTCTCTTGTCTGTAACCAGTTGTATATTCTACTGTAATCGTTCACTTCCAGTCTGTGTTAAGGCAGATATGAGTGGCTTTTACAGCAGCAACACTTCATGCTGAACTGCTAACCAACCTGCAAGGTGGCTGATGTCCCTCACTGCATTGTCACACCTGGGGCAGCGTCACTGGCCAGTCAGGATACACAGGCACTGCACTTGCTCAGAAGCAGCTGGGGAGCCAATTAGGAAGCGTGCATGAGTGGATAATCAGCCACACACCCCAGATACACAGTCGAATCCTGGAGAACTGCAGTATCTTCTGGACTTTGTTCTGAATCATGTGATTTTTTTCTATCTATATTTTTGACTAACCAGAGAACTTCAATGTTAATTGCTGTCACCCTGGCTGGGGTCCAGTCCAAAACAGTCAAATGAAGCTGGCATGTCTGATAGAATATAGTTGGAAACTGAAGCACCCAATGAAAACCCATGCAACATACAGAACACAATACAGTGAAGACAGAAACCACATGGAGTCGAACCCAGGACTCTGGGAGAGTGAGGCAGCAAAGTTTCTCGCTGTGCTTGTTGTTCCAGGTAACTGTATTCTAATCATTGTATTCCGCTTTTCCATAAAAACACAAACTTTAAAGAAATTGTTAATGACTGATGGAAGGAAAGACTGGAAGACCATGGGCTGTGGACAGGACACTGCCTTTCTATAACGGATGAAGCGATTCCCTTACTATGTGTGAAGCACTTTGGGATGAAAAGGTAGATGCAGGAAATCATATCATTACATTAACCATTGAAGAACATATATAGTTGATTTATTTACTTCAAAGTTGACACTATTGATAAATTCTGCTGTGTTGCTGTCAGTCTCTGTGTTGTGTTGATCATTTCGTCCCAGAATCTGTCCTCTCAGCCTCCTCTTCTTGTGTCCTGGTTTCATTCCCTTTTATTTTACATGCTACAGCTGGCATTCTGACACCTGCAGACTCACTCGTGTCTTAGTTTTCAAACCCGTCACTAACGCTTGTTCATCTCAGCCTCTTTCTAACCAGGAAGTGTAGTTTTTTTTCCTCCAAAAAGTGAGTTTCCTTGATGTGGGACCATCTTGTTCACCCTTTAAGTTTTCAAAAGGGAACATTTTTGGGGAAATCTTTTTAACATTAACTGAACACAGTCTCAGGCGGGCTGCTCACCATGCGCTAGTTTTGCCTTTTCTATTCTTTGCGCAGTATTTTAATTCAGTTCAGATTTGTGTATCCTTCTGTCCACATGCTGCTTTCCCAGCTGTTTGTTGTGGGGATTTTCTGAATGACACAATTGTACTATTTCTACCCTGCTGTTTCAAAGGAAGAGAAAGACTTCTCTAACTGCCAGCATGTGTGCCAAAGCAACACTAAGCACTGAGTGGTGTTATACTTCTGCTGCCCTGTGACTGGTTGTATTAATTTGACTTAGTTATTTGTTTTGTTTGTGTGGGCACGTGCTGTTAATTAAGGTCTGTTAATTTAGAGGACCTTTCTTATATTACTTGCATAATAATGTAACTTCCAATTAAAGCTCTTAGATTTTTTTTTAAACTAACTGAAATACCCAGCAGTTTTTATAGTAGTTCAGTAAGCAGTGCTTGCACTCTGGTCGATCCTCATTTATTTTCTTAAATTAGTTGCCTAGTAATTACTGCCAACCTACTGCCAAACTAGTGGCCTCCACTTAGATAATAATTGCTTACACGTATATAGCGCTTTTCTGGACACTCGACTCAAAGTGCTTTACAGGTAATGATCACTCTTCTAAGCTTTGTGTTATTGAGCCTTTGGTTTTCCCACAAGAAGTGTTTTTTTTATTAAATCGTGTGTGTACTGTATTGTATGAAATCAAGCAAACTTGTAGAATACAAGGATGCAAACTTGTAGAATACCTCTCTGTAGTAAATTGTGAGCTGTGCCCTCGGTAAAATGGCGTCGAGTTTGGAATGATGGGAACGTGTTTAACGTAATTGAACAATTTTACATTTCTATGTTCCTTATGGCCGGTTACAAAATCGAAGGGCTCCCTCTGATTACTAAGTGAGAGCAAACTGAGACGAAAAACTCAGCGATTCAGAATTGTGTGGTATAATCTATTGATCGGAAAAAATACAAAATATGTACGAGATGTATTGAAATCAAAACCAAAAAATGTTTTGTAAATCAATTATGAAGGGAAAACTAGTATTATATAGTTGTTTCTGCAACTAACTACATTTCTTAATTTCTATGAGCAATACAGATTGCATTTCAAATATTGAGTTCAAGGAAACTTCTGATGTACTGTAATAGGGAGAGCTTCGGAAATATAATGTTATTCCGGTAAAATACCACTGGGAGGCGACAGTTATACACGGGTCTATGAAGGCTCTTTTAAAGCTGCCCTTATTAATCCCACCCATCTGTTGCTCCTGACAGAAAGAAGCTTCCTGCTCCGACCGACATGCGTATCACGTGATTGGGGGGTTTTGACAGACAAGAGTGATAACCAATTACATTTTGGGAATTAAAGTGCGCTAGATCACGATTGGTTTATGGGAACCTTACAGCAGGTTTACAAAATAGTAGCAAAAATCTTTGCTTTATCCACTTAGTTTATAAGATATTAGATTGATGTTCAGTATTCGGGGATTTGAATTTGTCCACCAACTTTATTCAAGAGAGGAAAGATCAATGTCTATACATGTGTCTCAGAGCAATTTTAAAATATGAAATATGGAAACATTTTTTTTTCATTCCCTTTACCCGTGGATATGTATAGACACCTCTATTTTACTAAACCAAGCAGGATAAGCATCATACTGTATATACAGTTTATTCATTAAAATACGCGATCGATACGACAGTGAAAAGCTAAAGAACTGGGACAGTGAAGTGACATCTCATTTTGCTGTGTACTAATGAAATTTGATATTGATCTAATATGGCTAAAACCATATTGAATTTCTATCATTCTGCTTCATATTCATTGATCTGAAATACACATTTCATTAGTACACAGCAAAATGACCAATTTCACTTCACTGTTCTAAACATATACTGTTCACTGTGTGTGATACAATAACCTTCTGCAGGAGTACTAGCCCTGCATGATGTCTTTACTGTATATACAGTACAATCGCTTAATCCAGTTCAGGATCACGGGGGAGCTGGAGACGACTCCATCCAGCAAGCACCAGGCGCCAAGCAGGATACACACTGGACTGGACGCCAGCCCATCCTATGGCACACACAGCCAGCCAGACTCTCACACACTCTCACCAAGGTTGGTAAAGTCATGTGAAACAAACACAGGGACATATTTTAACTTTTAACATGTGAAGAACCACTTTCAAACTAAAAATAGGAAAAAAAATCTACAAAAGCTTGGAATAGATAACTGGGTCATATTGGGAAGTTATGACTTGATATATAGACAAATATTGACCCTCAGTTAGCAGAACAGCCTAGTCTCACTATTGTAACTTCTCTGAAGTTCTTATTCCCTTGCCACAGTCCTGATGAATCTGGAACCCTGACCATAGCCTGTTTTTGTATCTTTTGAATGTTGCTGCATCATGCCTTCATAATCCCTTCATAGCTTCTACACAAGCACTATAAATAATGTAGTTATGTTTACAGTGCTTGGTACAATGCGAGGTTAAAACAAATGTCACAACCTCTTATGCACTCAATATGTCATTTGTGCATGCCCCTATAAAGCATCATGCATGTGATTCTAACACCTTGTGCAGCAGTTTTGAAGGGATTATGAAGCCAGCGACATGAAATAAGTAAAGGCATTACCAAAAAATGGTAGAGAGAGAATTCACATTAATGAAAAACAGGCTAAAAAAATAGGAATTTGAAGGGAAAGCAATAGGATTGTCAGAATGTATTTTAAAGCTGTAAATGTTGTGCCATCTTTCTAAAAAAGTAGAAACATATCTGAAGAATGAACTGTTCATCTGCAATGCTGCCATTTCTTAGGGCAAAATTGGGGTAAAAGTAATGTACACAAAAAGATGGGAAATGCTGGTTGTCACTTCCAGTATCTTAAACCTTTTGAAACATGCTGAACGATTTTCCATCAATGACAGTGGTGATGGGGACTGACATTTGCAGAGCTATTGAAGACAAAAAACACTTTCTGTTCCTTGCTAAACTAAGAAACCAGATACCCCTTCACATTGATTGTGTGCTGAAGGTTCCAAAATAAGAATCCTGGTGGAATAAAACTTCATCGTTCTTTACCTGTTTGAAAGTTTTGCATTTTGAGAATTTATTCATTTACATTTCAAAACTCTGTGCAGAACAAACATTGAATTAAGGCACACTGTTCAGCATTTTAATAACTGATTTGAATAAAAGCACTTTCCGAATGATTGGATAATAATGGAAATCAATGCTACTAGTAGCAGAGAATTTTATTCAGTTATAAGCTTGACAATTTGAGTGGAATCAAAAAGCCAGTTGCATAAAGATCAATCAGCCTTATGCTACCTAAAAGAAATAACCATTGCTAACAACAAATGCCAAAAAACAAATTAAAATTTTGGAAAAACATACAGTACAAATTGAATTCAGCCAAGGCTACAGTATACAGAATATAAAGTGAATTTAGAGGGAGAAGTGAAGAAGCACCAGTCCTGTTTTAAGACCCTCTCTCTGTCTGGTGGAAACTCTGGTTCAAGGGAGTGAAAGCGTACATTAGAAGCTAGAAGCGGACACTTTCTTAGAAAACCGGGAGGATTATTCCAGCTGACACAAGGAGAAGGAACAGCCATTGTCCTTAGCCCCCAAAGCAGGGTAGAGGGGCTCGGTGAATATTGCTTCGAGTGTGTGTAGGTGTAGCATGGAGTCAGGGGAGACACTGTAAAATGACAGCGTGCCCCCCACCCAGTCCAGATACACTCCCACTCTGGGGGACGAGGAGACAGGTATGACGGTTTCGTTGTTATTGTGCCAGACGGAGTAACCGGATCCCCTGCATTCCAAACCCCAGGACTTGTCGTTGTGCCCAAGGCAACTGTCATAACCCTTTCCTTTTCTCCCTATTCCTCTGCATGCGACTCCTATAGTGACCCCTTTCCCACTCCACTCAACCTCCCAGTAACAGCGGCCAGTCAGCCCCTCTCTGCACAGCACTTGGGGATGCCACTCAAATCGCTCTGGATGGTCAGGGTATGGCATTTTCTCCTTCTTGCGCGTCATCTCTATATTCCTTTCAGAGACAGAAAGCCGTCGGTGTACGGTCTCCAGGTCTGGTGTGAGCTGACAGGCATCTGCAGGAGAGAGTGAGGAGGAAGAGAGAACAGGTGAACTCAAGCAGACAGGACCAGAACCAGTAGAGTCCAGGTTAGTTCTACAGAATAAGGATTCATATACAGGACTGACAGCACAGTCACCTCAAATGTCTAAACAGGTGGACAGACAGTCAGACGGTTGGATGGACAGCCGGCTGGACAGTAAGATAGACACACAGCCAAAGGAATGGACAGCCAGATAAAGAGACATGTAGTCAGACAGTGGGGGGGGCAAAAAATCAGACTTACACTGCAGAAACTGATCCCTGGTTCTTGGCACTGCAAGGGAAAACAGTATTAAATTAATTCAGACTCAGCCAGTATAAAGGACAAAAGGTTATCTTAGCATTACAATGATACAAATAGGGGATTTCAAGATGTATGAACATTTGTGGATGTACATCTGTTTAAGAAGCAGGTTCAGAGCATCAGATAAATCTTTTAAACATGTATAACTTAAAATGTCTACAGTTTAAATTAGAAAGAAACTTTGAGCAGTTAAGGCGAGCAATGAAGAGCTGCCCTGCAATAGAAAATGTATCACTGGTACCACTAAGAGTCTCAATGTCTTCATCTGGAAAAACTGCAATTTTCTTCTGAACCAGGGGGTAGAGTTTCATATCTCCAGTAATGATGCAAGGGCATTCAACTGAATTATTTGGGCTTCCTCAGGCCCAACAATTCCACAATGGGGCTCATTTGGGATAGACCCAAAATCTGGATTAATCAGGCTGACCTTGATGACATCTGTCACAAACAGTCTACATCAGGGTAAATTTTGGCCTAATTGGTTTCATGTATTTGAATTCTAATTACAGTAGAATCTTGATTTGAATTAAACCATGGCAGTAACACAAATGGACGAACTTACAAGAATCAAATATGTAACTGGAACGTTACCAGTTTATATTTATCAAGAACTGGATAATGAATAGAAAACAAGCAATACAAAATACAGATAACAGCTCTTAGATCTCGGGAATCTAGCTCACTTTGTAATGTATGCAAAATATGTCTGTGAGGCTGCAGTGTTTACTATGTATCTAAAAGGCTATTGTGTGTGCACAATTTATATTTCAGTCTGCAGTAAGCTCACAGATTCTCTTGCAGCCAGCAATGTGGGTACAGTGTTTTCATCAGGCACCAGTCTCTGGTGTGTTATTTAGGCTGCAGTGTGTACAGACATTAAGACAGCAGTTTCCCATTCAGGCTAAAGTGCGTGTACAGTGTGTCATACAGCGAGTGCTCTTACCTCCCACAAAGGAGAGCTCCGCCTCCTGACTGGGTGGACTGGTTTCTCCTCCTACAAAGCCTGAGTACACTCGGAATCTGTATGAACTCGAGTACTGCAGCCCATCTATAGTGCAGGTCGTCTCATCACCCTCTGTCAGCTTGGCTGCCCACAGAGCCCATCTTTCATCCTTGTATTCCACTTTGTACTGCAACACAGGCAGCCCCCCTCTCACAGCAGCTGGCTCCTCCCAGCTCACTGTGACGATTCCAGAGACGGCGTCTCTCTGTACCAGTGGGTGTGCAGGTGCAGCTCTTGGGTTATGTTTTGTCTGGATCTTAATGGCCTCACTGGCCTCACTCACCCCCACAGCATCCACTGCCCTGTACCTGAATTCATACAGTGTTCCTGGCTGCAGTCCTGACAGGGTCCAAGCATATTGTGTGTCAGGAGTGTCAGTGACCATCCAACGACCTCCTTGATCTTTGTGCCACTGTGCGCCAGTCAGAGCGCTTCTCTGCACTTCTCTGTACTCCACTCTGAAATGTTCTGTCTCCCCACTCTGTGAGGGCAGCAGCCTCAGGGTCACTCTGTCAATGTGGATGTCAATTGGCACAGGGGGATCCGGCTTCAATACAGGTCTGAATGCAGGGGTCACTAGTTTTCCATGGCGATAGAGGCGAATAGAGGCTCCAGGACTGGACTGGTCAGAGACAGTGGCGATAATGAATTGGGTTTTCTTATTATCTCTGTTGGCCTCTGCGTATTCTATAAACCACTGAAGAGTCACCCTCATCATGTCTGATGATGCAAACCATGGCTGGGTCTCCTCTTTGCTCAGTCCATTAACAGGGGCAGAGTTCTGCTTTAAGTTGTCAGATGTTTTGCTCTGCCAAAGGTAATGAGTCAAGACGGAGAGATACGGCTCTTTGTAGACCAGCGAGGTGAATGTGAAGCAGATGACAGTATCTATCTCTGGGTTGAAAAGGATGCTGTTGAGGTCACTGGGCGATGACATGACGGGGATGCCTTTCATGGCATCGGTGTAAGATCTCAGTATATTAATTTCAGATTCTTTCTCATCGAGCCATTTCTTCTGCTTGGAGTTAGTGAAGGGAGACTCGCTGTGAGACTGGAGAAGGTTGACTAGGGCCTGCTCCTCTTGTTCACCCCCCCGGATGACTGGCAGGATTTCAGACAAAGCTTTCTGAAACTTTGTTTTGTATTGAGCCATGATGCTCTCAAACTGATGGAGTTTTTCCTTTATGATGCTGAACTGAGCCACGGTGCTGTCACTCTGCATGTCCCAGGACCTCCTGCTGGCCTTGATGCACTGCACCAGTACCGTCTCTATCTGTGATACCAGGTTTTCACTGATCTCCCTCATGAGCCGAGCAGCTCTTGGGTCCAGACTCTTCAAAGGATACAGCCAGACCCTTACAGGCACAGCTTTCTCCCCATTCTCTCCCAGCAGACTAGGGAGCATTCTGTAAACCTCCACAGCCTCCAGGTAATTAGATGGATTTTGTTGAATTTCAAAGTCTCCATGGAATGTGCAGGCAAACTTCTGAATGTTCTCCTTGTCTTCCTCAGTCACGCCCATTTCACCCCTGCTTCCGATAGGAATTTTGGGTATCTTTTCGATCAAAGCTTTGAGTCCTCCTGCAACATTTTTCTTCTCTTTCTTATCAGAGGTTCTCTGATCAAACACAAAGAAAGCCTGAGCCCCATACAGCACAGCTGTTACCACGTGGGTGGCTGTGTGCTGCTCAAAAACCTTTTCATACATCACCTGGCCCAGCTGGGTCATGGTCAGCTGCTCAAAGCGAGTGGTTCTGCTGTACTGCAGAGTGACCCTGCAATGTCGGCTAGAGGGGGACGTGTCCATTAAATATTTGGCGGACCCCCCTAGCTCTATGATGCCCCCGAGGATACTGGCCTTCAGGGAGCCTCTCACATTAAATGCCTTGGTCTTTTCCCTGAGAGAGTCAGAAGCAAGGATCTTGAACTCTGTGTTGGGCTTCACAGATACATCAAGATCCTTCATTAACGCTTCTCTGTCCCACAGAGTAACACCTAAAGAGAAGACAGAGAAGAACTTTAGTCACCAACTTCTGTTCGCCTGTTCGTTCATGTAGTGAAATGTTTGACTAATTCAAACAGTAACTCTACCAGAGTCTACAGTAGATATGGGGTTCTCGATCTATGGGTCACAACCCAAAATTGGTTGACCATACTGTTTAACTTTGTCATCACAATCTACGATAGCTTTTTACTGCCAAGAAGTAAAAAATGACAAGCTCTGACCCGTGATCATAGAGTTCAAAGCATGCTTGAGAGAATGGCCATACCACCTGACCTACATGGGGGTACCAAAATGCCCCCTTTTAAATGCCCCTGGCATTAAGGAGTTTTGCCTTCATACTAGTGATATGCCAAGGAGACTCATTAGCAACTTCTGTATTAAACCACCTGTTTTTACAAGTAACAACACCTCATACACCATCTCACGGCATTGCTATCTGTGGAGATAGAAGTTCTTCTTCCAAAATTTCAATTCATACCCATCAATCTGCAGGTGGGCTTTTACTCAATAAACTTCCTGGTGCCCTAGAAAACCCCCATCCTAGACCTGAGGCTTCTGAGATTGTCACTATGTCATTCTTTGAGGCATATTTTTCACAGCTTATTTTTTTGTTCAATAAATAGGAAACAATAAATAATTTACTTGTCAGAACATTAGTTTGTCCTTGAACATGCTATACAGTTTGCTACCTTGAATTACAGTGTTGATTTGACCATTCATACAGTATATTTCAAAGTCTAGTCAATGTTAATATACAAATGCAAGTTAGCAGGAGAAAACTCATGATTACAGTATGCCCTTATGCTACTCTGCTACAGATGTTCTCCGTCACTGTCAGGGAAAGGAGTCTTCTAACATGGCTGAAAGGAGATGCTCGCTGTGTGTGAGTGTGAGATGGGAGTACCTGGGATGAAGGTGTCATTTCGGCAGTCGTATAGCATCCCGAGGCGCAGGGGTCGCCCCAGGGCAGCGATCTCGATCGATTTGGTGTCCATGGCTGAAAAATGAGAGAGAGTCAGCAAGCTGCATCTGATTCACTTAACACCTGTTTCAGAGTCAGCAGAATACACAGCTGGCATTCAGAAATAATGGTATTTAAAATAATATTCTTAGTAGCAACTGAAAAAAAGCTTTTGCATTTGTTGTTCGGTAGGGATCAACCTTATGGTCACTACTGAGCGCACACCTGACTTCCTGGCAGGCTCAACATCTGGACTCAACGAGCTCTCTTCCCACCTCCTCTCCTCCTCTTGTAAAGAAGCTATATTCAGCCATCTCCTCTTTGATGGCTACCCTGTGTTTCAGAGACTAAGCCATAGTCTACCTCTTTCTGCTGGAGTCTGTGTGTGGAAGATGACACTGAGCTCCAGCAGTAGGGTGTTTTATGGGATTAGGCAGTACGCCCGGGTGGGCCAGAGCTCACAGCTTTTGGTCTCCATGGAAACCGGCCTCATTCACATGAGGAGTCGCACACTTGTGGGGGCTGTGAGGAGTTGTTCAGGCCACTTGTCGCAACCCCCTGCCCCCACTTACAGTAGCAAGTAACAGTTCTGTTTAGTCCAAGATATGTATGTAAACACTAATCTGTCTACCGACTGGTACTTTGTCATTGAGCTTCCCTGGTTGGGGAAGTGCTTGCTGTGGGCACCATACAAGCCCATTTTAGAGAAGGATAAACTCCTGAACCATGTTGCCAGTCGGTACTCTTTCTGTCGTCCATTCAGCTCTGCTTAGCACTGGACCAGTGGCGTTCTGCCAGACCTCCTGTCTACCCACCTTGATAGCCAGCACAGCTTCCCTGCTTTGCTCTGCCCTGCCCTGCCCTGCCCTGCCCTGCCCTGTTACTGGTGGGTGCTCCTATCCTCCAGTCTCTGATCAGCCCGTCTGCTAGCCCCTCTCCTGTTCAGCTATCACCTTCAGGTCTTGAATCCAAATACTGGATCCCGGTGAAGAGCGCCTGCATTGGATTCCTCAGCCTCTCCAGCAGATGTGGCTTTTCCCATCTACCCACCATGACATAACATTTGGATATTAATTGGATTTTGATTGAATTTGTTGACAAAATCTTAATTATGCATTGTTACACTCTCAGCTCCTAGCTCTGTGCTTATAAGCATTTTATTATTCAAAAGATTGAACTAGATTAATGTTTTGCAGAATTTACATGAATATTCAAAATATATAACAAAAAGGTTTCTAGCTTCATCAAGAGGAAGCTGTTATAGTAAGCTGAATGACAGTGGTGAATGGACTTGATCTATTATTTTTCATTTTAAAAAGAAAAGAAAAGAAACTGTGTTTCTAATTTACCATGAAATGTCTGCCAGACTTTAAAAATCCATTTTTAGGCAGAGCTAAATGTCAAACTGCAAAATATAATCAAAATATTCATTCCTAAAATGTATTAAAATTGATTAAATAGTGTCATCTGAGTGAGCCATAAAATGTTTGAAAAAATAAGGCATTCCACTTTAAATAAGGCATTTAATATTAAATTCTAATAAAATGGATTGTTCTTTGTTTTTTAGAAGGCGTCATTTCCTGATTCCTCTTAAAATGTTACTGGTCTGTAATCTGCCTTTGAATCCTTGCCAAAGTTTGAGATTTACTGATAGTGCCTTCACAAATTCTTTCAGTTTCCCTTTGAGTTCCCTCAGGTTTTGACTCTAAAATGTTCTTGTTCTTATTCCCTTGCAGATTATCTCAGAACACCCCCTGCCCCTTAAAAACAAATTCAAACATGAAGTATTTTTGCTTTGAGAAAACAAAAGCATCAATTTTTAGCATCTTCAGACTAAGGTAAGGTCTAACTTGTTCAATATTTCTGAGGTGAAAGAAAGTGGTCTTAGAGATACTGTCAATGTGATCTTAAAACTCAACTCTGAATCAAGAATAACACCTACAGTAGGTTTCTCACTACAGGGTTCACCTGTGGACCCAGATTTCCTAATTTACTTAATATTTTATTAATATTTGTGCCAACAATAAGAATTTCCTTTTTGTCATCATGGAGTTCTAACAAACGTTCGGGAGGGATGAAGGCATCTGAACTAATTAAGGTCTCCTGGCGCAACTGGCACCTAATCCTGACATAACTGCCTCAGTTCCCATATACCACAGGTCACCCTCTCCTCTTCCTCGCTCATTTTCACATCCTTCTTCCACCCCATCTCTAACTTTGCAGCTGCCCCTTGGTCGGCTCTCAGGCAAGTGAGATAACCCAAAGTTTTCACAAAATTCAATAAATTATTCGACTCTCACACAAACTTTGACTGCTGTCATTCCTCGTGAAATTAAGATTGAGGAGATTATTATTCATCCAAATTATAATACTGGATATACTGTACGGTTTATCAAGGTATTAGGCGCATTGGTGTTATCTGGCTGTACAGATATGTATAGCTGTGTATCATCTGCATAACTATGGAAGATGACAGCATGCTCATTAAAAATTCAACCATTAATAATTCATGGCAACATGTACAATGTAAAACAAAGGGGACCAATATAATTCCTTGTGGAACACCATACAGAATACCATTCTTTTCAGAAACTTGCTCACCAAAATTAGCAAAATATTGTCTTCAAGTTACAGTAGATAAGTAAAGTATTTTCCTGGTGTAAGATTACTCTTAAGCATTTTTTATCAAGTTCATTTTCATGTGGAATTAATGTATCTGCTTAAAGAGGGTGTGTGCTCATTCTAGAGGATACAGTCAGGTTGACAGATCCTTAATCTAATGAGAGAAGTATAGTGCTTGTACAGCTTTGCTGTCTGTAATATTTCCAAGAAGAATACTTGTTCTCCTAGGATTTTAAGACTCTTTTTATTCTTTATTAAACTTTATTCTTGTTTAAACTTTGCCTTCTTGTTTAAACTGCCTCCAAAGGTTCTAGAGAAAATGTTGCTACAGTGAAATTACAGTATGTAAACAGTCAATTGCTTTCAATCTCAACCAAGATTAGGTTTTTTGTAGTCATTTCACATAACCATATTATATGTAGACTTTGGATAAATTGAAAATCACATCACAGAAGCCTTTTGAGATCTGTATTAACACCCTGCACCATAAAAACAGAATATGTAGTATAAAGCTGTATTGTATGATTTGAAATTCTCAGAATTGGAAGCCCAGTTGCTTGTCCTGTAGAATGATACACATGTAGTATATGCATAAGCAGTCAGCTCCATTTTTTTAAACATCACTGTTTTTAGAGGTATATAAATGTAATGAAATATTATTAGTTCTACTGTACCTGTATTTGTGAAGGCTTAGTGTCTCTCTGTGTCTCCCAGGAATGTCTGCTCCAGTCAAACTGTGAGACAGGTTTCAATAACTGATACTGCACAGATACACACATAATGGCTCATACTCCTTTTTGTCCTGTACCAGTAGAACTGGTCTTTCATTTCTGTCTGTGGGTGGCAACAAGAATGGAAACCCTTAAGAAAAAAATAAATAGATTTTAATGGTGCACTCAAAATGTGTGAAGGATTTTTAAAGTAAAGCAAAATGTTCATTATAAAGCTCACCTTTATGGTGTGGTTTTTTATATCTGTTGCTAAGCATTACCCAATATACAAAAGACATTCAAAGTATTTAAAGGACTCTATTAATACATACTGTATACTGTAGTATGAAATGACGGATATTTGAAACAGTTGAAACAGTTTACAAAGACATCTTGTAATGAAATATATTCATGTAGTATTCACTTTAATTTCACAAACCAATATATTTCTGAACCAGAAGTCTACTTTCTTCATAATGTGAGGAAGGGGACTGAGATATGTGATCTATAACTAAACTGGGTAGCTCTGGGACTACTGGAGAGATGATTATTTGCAGTATTCATTGATTTGCCTACAATGCAAAGGTCATAAATTCTCCAAGTTGAGAAACAACTCATCAGACATTACATTTTCATTATTGTGTTTAAAATTCTAAAATCCTCAAAGCCTGGGTTCTTTTGTTGCAGAAAAAAGTCCTGTCTTTGATTCATGCACCCATTCATTGAAGAAGCCAATGTCTTAGGTCATCTTTTTACAAAATATTCTATTAACTATATTATAAATAATTACTCCTTCATTTTAAATAGCTTTTTTCATTACAAATGGTCTCTAATCTCTTAACATATAGTAAATTGCATTTTTTTTTTGCATGTGTATCTTACTTTCTTCTAAATGAAAGCAACAGCCCTGCTGGCAGACTGGAATGTACTGTTTGGGACTGACAAAGATCCTGCCAGCATCTCTTGACACTCTGTGTTTTAATGGCATGTCAGTGTCACTGGAATGTACTTTCTCTTTGCTCAAACCTGCTGAACGTGTATATTCTGTTGTCCATGTGGTACAGTAGCTTGCAAAGATTTTCTATTGTATATCTTTTTTTTTCTTTCCATCGTTCTTGTCTCTATATTTTGAAGTCCCAACTGGCAGGAAGTTTTTTTTTTTTTGCCTCCTTCAGGTTTAGGGATCCAGAGACTACCTTGTCAAGAAGTTAATTCTAAATCCATGACGTTTTATTTTTTTGGTCTCTGCCTGCGTCCAGTTGCTGTGCTTAGCTTCAGCAGCAGCTTTCTATGCCTGCCTCTTCTCAGTTGCTTTTCCTTCAAAACGTGCCCACGTCTCATGTAACACTGCTATCTGCTTTCTTGTCTTCTAACTGGATCTGCTTGGGAAAGCAGGTTTGTCACCTGGAAGCCTCATCCGCAGACATTCCTGTCACAAAGGCAGTCTCTGGAAGCTATGGCTTCAGTACTTCTATCTGCGTTTGTTTCTCGGCACTTAGACTGCTGGTTTCACACATTATATTCAATGGTTTGGCATCCTTATGCCTCCGGCATAACAATTACGCAATTTGCCTTACACTGTGCCTCATCTAAGGAGGATCTTTAGCAGGTCCTCCTAGAGTCTACAGTCAGTGCCTTGCTGCAGGTTTGTCTTGTGCAATTCTTCAGTGTCAAACCCATTTTGGTTTACATTTTGTACAGATCATGCTTATCTTACTTGGAGTGACCAAGCAGAAAAAAATATCTGACACAATGTCACACAAACTTTTTTTTCTTGCATGGGTAATCCATAAACCAATCCAGCACTGCAAGGGGTCTCAGCTTGCTAATGTCCAGGGTGCCTTGTTGTGGCTGTGGCAGCGTTCACAGGATTGAGCTTCATAGGTGAGATACGTAACAGAGCAGTATCTGGGGTGTTGAAACTAGTTTAGGCCACTGAAAGGCAGCCTAGAGATGCTCCATAGACAGAGAGCTAAATAAGGTTTTACATTTGTAGGAGTAATTGACTTCAGCAGTCACTGATTTGATTCTTTGATAAAAGGGGTCAAAGCCCAGCTAGGGCTGTCTAGTCTGGTGTCAGGTTTAACCTGTAATGCTTTGTGTTGAGTGAACCCTGGAGGTTATAGTTCAGACTCATTGGGGAGAAAATATACAAAAAGGTTCATAAACTCATATAACATAGTGACGGCTACTGTGTCAGGGGCACTGATATTGCCTGTTAATCCACCGCCCTGGCCAAACAGGATCTGCCAGTTAGATTCGCCACAGTCTTATAAGGGAAATAGGAAGGCTAGCAGGCTACAGCCCAAGTCAAGGTCAGTTCAATGGTTAATACGAGGATCTGGTGCTAAGCAGATGTATTTTGCTGTGGTTAGTGTTTCCAGTTCATAAGAAGCAATTACTTCACCTTATGGCTATCATAAGTAAGTGCTTATAACACTACATATTCCCAAAGTTATTTTTAGACTGTACTGGCATTTTTATTAGCACTGTTGTTTTGCAAAAGCAGTGGAAGTCTGGAGCTCTGAGCAGTGATTGATCCTAAAGTAGATACTTATCATTTTAAGGTGAGTACAGATTATTCTCTGCTTTAAGCACTTCATTTGTTAAAAACAAATACAGTTTTAAAACTTGTTCATTATTGCATGTTTAAACCATGAGTAGTTTCTTTATCACCAGAAACTCTGCATGTGATGGGTAAAATATCTGGCAAGCAGAATCACATGACCTGATAGCAGTTCAAGTAGGAAGCTCCATCAGAATGTACTGTACTGTATAGGTTGCAAAGGAACAAGTAAAGGTTTATTCCATGTTGAAAAGAGAAGAAAAGAAACACAACGTTCTGACACCCGAAGAAGGCTCTACAGCGGAAACATTGTGTTTCTGACCTGACAGTATACTGTATGTTTGTACATGATATATTCATTTTCTTGATAGAATTTCTGCAGTAGCCTAACATTATAAACTGTGCAATTAACATGTTGTTAAATTCATACAGTACCTTTTTCACAAACAAATGGAACTAAATAAAAAATTTAACCAAAGTGAGTAAGGACAGCCTTTTCTCTGATTAATATATCCTTCCGACGTGCAGGAGATGCTTTACTCATCCTGAAACCAAAGACTGAGAATGCATAGAACTTAATCTTTTAAATAACAAAACTTCAACAGGTTCTAGGTTCTTTGATTGTTGACAGGGAAGAATGCTCAGAATTTCCCTTCAGGCTGCCTCTGCCTCACCTTATTAACGGCCAATATCTCCTACTGAATTAGTTTAGTGAAAGAAATTATGAGAATTACTACTAAGCAGCAATTTACAGTAGTAAAGGTTTAAGTTATTGCCATATGATATAAATTATGATAGCCATAAGGTTTACAATAGGGCTGGAAAAATGGCAGTTTTTAAACTACCAGTGAATTGTTGTTATGTGTACAATCCATTGATGCATTGTTCTAGTTGTGAAATAAAAAGCCTAGTTACTCACCTGAATTCTAACAAATTATTAATGCTTTTTTCCCCCATATGTATCTTTGCATGATACTGTTGAAATTATATTCCTCACTAATTTTCAAAGACAAATTCTGTATTCTGCAAGTACAGTATGTTGGGAAAAAATAAACATATAAAGGACAATTTAACTATGTACAAGTCAAACTAATGTCTATTCCAAGCATTTAGGAATTTTTTTGTTCTGAGGAAGACTGTGGCATTGACATTCAAGTTTAGAGGAAAACAGTTTGTTTACTACAATCCCTCCCTGCTTTGCTGAACATTTAGTTTCAGAGGAAGTTTAAAATCCTGTCCTATCTTAAAATGTCTGAGGTAACGTTGTTTTTGCAGATGTGTTATTTTAAAAAAATCAATGACTGGGCATCAGAATACTGAGTAACCAAAGCAAGCAGGCACATTGTACATGCTCCTCTGCTTTTCCTATCCAAATCCTGGCCCATACAAATGTCATGATGATGAAGTAATGCAGACAGATGGTACAAGTAGAGGAGTAAAAAGTATGATCTTATTTAAACATACAGTACATACTTGAGTAAGAGTATCCCCAAAACAAAGTATTTATACAACTTACAGTAGTATTTTAATTCAGTTTCTGCCACACCAGATTTGTATAATGTTTGTAAATGTTTTTTAATTAAAAAATAAATTAATTAATTAGGTTTTATACAATTTTAACACCATTTTAAAGATGCTCTCCTCAGCTATGTTTGGTGTGTAATAGCATGAAAGAAAACATTCTGTCTTATGTTGGCAGGAACTTATATTTCACAGCTAGATTCCACCCACACTGTTATCTTTAAAGAGATGAAAGTGACTGGAAATGTAAGGG